TTTCGCGCTTCGTAGCCTCTTATAATAAAAGTAATGCTTATAACTTATAACTTGATAACTCTATCCCAATGCACGAGATCGTAATCCCAGGCTTCTTTTTATGTGCCATGTCTTTTCAGCACTCTCCACCTCCCTCTATCTCTTGCTCCTCCCCAGACCACGTTCTGTCATCCACTTGCTTAAACCCGCCGTTGTTTTCCTTTGTTTCGTTTTCCCTCTATTCGCCCTGTGAGTATCAGATTCTCCAGGCTCTCCTTCCTGATTATGTGTTCCAGAAATTTCAGCTGACTCTTCCTGATGTTAAATATAAGCCTCCTCCATGTTTGCAACCTCTCTAAGACCTCATCGTTGCTCACACGCTCGGTCCATGATATCCTTAGCATCCTTCTGTAGAACCACATCTCCGTCGCCACGAGTCTATTCTTCATCTTTGAGGAAACCGTCTAAGATTCTCTGCCGTAAAGAAGGGCAGATGTCACGTAACAGCTCAGTATTCTTTTCTTTGTTACCAAAGAAATCCTCCTGTCTCGCAATACCCTGCCCAGCTTTTGAAATGCGTCCTTGGCCATCCCAATATGTCTACGGATCTCAGTGTCGCACTTACCGGCCTTTGTCAAAATGCTTCCCAGAAATTTAAACTTCCGAGTCTGCTTGATTTTAGGGTTCCCGACCTGCAAATCGTATTTCGGGCTTATCCTTTTACTGATGACCATGCATTCTGTCTTGTCTTTTTTTCTAATTAAAGCGAATTTAATGTGCTCCCTCGCTTTTTTGTTTTTATTTTAGTTAGGGTCAATGGGACTTATTCTAAGTTAAAACTTAAAACCTAATTAAAAAAAAAAAAAAAAATTTCCCCCACCTTTTCGGTAAGTATTCCAGTCGAAATGTCGGCTACTAAACCGGCTACCCCACTCCAAGTTCCGAGTGAAGCGGCTCGTTATCAAGCCAGCAGGACGAAAGCAAGACCTAAAAAAAGCGCAGGAACTCTCTGAGTCAACAGCCAGCTAACTAGAGGTACTGTCTCCATAAACCACTGAGAAGGCAACGTGAAACCACTCCATTATTAATCTCAAGAAAAATCATGGTCAACAATCTCAGACTATTCACCCCTAATAAACGGGACTATCAAATTCCCTTCAGCCACGGATTCGGTGCCTATAATAAGAACTGGTTTACTTGTGTCGCAGACTCTCACTGATCTGTATATATAATTTCGCGTGGCACTTATCCACAGTGCCTTCTTGACCTCTTCCTCCCCTCCTACTCTGAAAAATGCCTCGTTAAAGTCTTACTTGGACGCCTGAGATCATTCACTAGTCAATGTCAAAGTTGATGCCAACCCAAAGGCATACCCAGATAGACCGTTCCATAGAACGATTTTTCGGTACACGAAAGCAGACCGAAACAACTTCAAATCTTACATGCCGAAAGCTCTCCTCTCAGCCTTCTTGAAACATGCTGACCCCAAAACTGCTGCCCTTGTATCAGAATGGACCTTTACTGAAATGGAGAATTTTATACCTAGCTAAAAATTCTAGCAGAAACCGAACAGCCAGTTCTTGTTCATCTATAAATATGCTGCAGCCATAACTTATCGTAAGCACGACTACAATATCTGAAAAAAGGGGAACGGTGAAGTATAACACATACTGTACTCAGAACTACCCGAAATTATTGCAAGAGTGTTCTAGAAGTTTAGGCCAATGTTGAAAGCAAACAGAATGGATCCCTGGAGTTCTAGAAGATCTCTAACCAAATTCCGAATAGAGGCAAAGCGTCAGGTTACTATTATAACTGCCCCCCTCAAGATTATCTCATCCTCGTCAGATAAGGCGAAGCTCTTTACCTCGATCTTTGCTTCGAACTCAGCGTTAATTGACAAAGGCCATTTTCCTTCTCGACTCCCCCCCCAGTTACACTGAGCAAAATCTCAGTGATATATTCATTACAACCTAGGAAATCAAAAGTCTTGACCCTAAGAAGGTCACTGGTTTTAACTGCTGCTTGGAGAAACCCTTCCCAAGTCTGTTGAAGTTGTCAAGTGCATGCCCGGTTTACAAGAATGCGGGTGAGCGCTCATGCTACTCACAGTATACACCCATTAGTCTTCTCAGTGTAAAATCAGCAAGAAGGTTGTTTATCACCTCAATCGGTACTCTCTCTTCAGCGACAAAAAGTATGAATTTCGATCGGCCCGGTCCACTGCTGATATCCTGTGATATCCTCACAGAATTAGCAAGGCACTAGACAACAAATACATCTCAAGGACGATCGCATTAGATATTTCAAAGATATTTGACAAGGTGTGACATAAAGGGTTACTGCACAAGCTCTCCAGCTATGGAATCACTGGAAGAGTTTTCTCAGTTATACTAACGGGTAGGTCCCTGAAGGTAGTTGTTAACGGTCAGTCCCCCGAGTCCTAAGTGATCAACGCAGGTATCCCACAAGGTGAAACTTCTCGGTTAAACCCCTTTCCTACTTTACATAAATGATCTGCCTAAGAGTATACTCCGATCATTTGTAAATATCTATACTGTGGATACAACGGTGTATAGGTGCACCTGCAAATCCTTAGATGATTTGAGCTTGGCAGCTGATCTATCCTCTGATCGAGCTCTAACAGCTCAGTGGGGGAAAAACTGGCCGGTTACATTCAATGCCTCAAAAACTTTTGTGACGTGCGGTGGCCGTTAATAATTAAGTATAACTCAAGACTTTCAATGTTAAAATAAAACAGTATTTAGTTACAACTGCAAATAAATACTTAACAAGAACAAAAAAGTAAAAGTCAACCAAAGATAATTAACCATTTCAGTGAATACCTTGTTAGTAGCGCGGCTCGGCTTAACGCCCAGTAAATCCTAAATCAAAACCCAAATCATTGACGCAAAATAATTCACACTAATTCGACTGGATAGTTCCACTCAGTAGTCATCAATAATCACTGAAGTCAGTAGCCTGACACCGCTATTTATACACCTGGCGGAAAACATATATTCATAAGTCCAGAGTGTCAGGCTAGAACCTCGGTGTCGGAGGTTACTCATTTTCTTCTTATATGACAAAAACCAAACTATTAACATTCCACCATTGTTTATCCGACTCAGAACTTTCACTAATCGTGATGAACAGATGTTTCCTCAGGGAGGCCCCGTCCCGTGAGAACCTACTGGGACTTAAACTGCTCTGACCTCAAGTGGAACTCTTACATACGATTCGTCGCTAAAGATGCTAGAAAAATGGTCGGTTCAATGTATCGCTCCAGCGAGTACCTGACTCTTCCTGCTATCCTGTGCCTTTACAAGAGTCAAATCAGACCGAATATGGACAGGAGCTACCCAGCTGCAACAGAGACCAAAAGCGTCTCCGCTTCATTGTGGGTGACGAATTATTTTCCACTCTACATGCCCTCCCCCACAGACGAAACGTCGCAAGCCTCTCGCTGTTCTATCACTATTTCCATGGAGAGTGTTCAGGTGAACTACATTCCTTAGTCCTAACCTTCACGGCTAAGACCAGCCATCCCAGCGCACATTGTATTGAACCACCCTCATTCTCTTCGTATGCCTTTGGTGAGATGTAAGTTCCACTCCAGCAGGACCGATTTCCAAGAGGACGTTTCCCCGATCACTACAATGTCAGCTGAAAACGTTAGTCCGAGAAGGTGCAGTGAGGTACTTTCCTGGAAGTTAGCATCAGCCATGCTGATCAAAAGTAAAAAAAAAAGCTTCTCTCAGATGATTAATAGAAAGATTCGTTTTTGAGGCGTTAAAATTGACAACAGATTATAGGTTATTTTTGAGATCAACTGTTAGTTCGACTTTAACAAACTACCCAGAATTAATATTAAAACGGAAGTAAATAGCTGTGTCATCAGCTTAGATAACGAGTTGAGAATTAGAAACAACTTAGGTTTAAGGATAGACTCCTGTGAATCACCTGTATTTTTTAGAAAATCATCTAGAAGAGTGGCCATTTAAGACAACTTTAATTTCGCGATTTGATAAGAAAGATTGAATCAGTTCAAAAATTTGTGCAGAAATAACTTTCAACTTGTGAAGAAAACCAGTCAAACCTTTCATCAATAATTGTTAACACATTGGCCTAAAGAAGTGAAAGCCATGTTGCTTATCTGAAAGAAGACCCTTCGATGTGAGATGCTTAACTAATTCAGAGTTAATTAGAACCTTTAGTAATTTGCCAAAATGAGGTAGAAGGCTAATAGGCCGTTAGCTAAAATTCTCTGTTAATTCTACAGTTAACAGTTATCTTTTCCACGTATCCGCATAAGCTGTGCCTCTTACTCTGTAACCCTCTACCTCGAGTGGCCTTCGGGCCTTGTACAGGGTGAACATTATGTTCGGCTAATAACAAAAAAGTTCCAAGTAAAATTTTTAATATCTGTCTATATTTCTGAGATGAAGTATTATGTACATTATTTATATTATTCGGACTATTGTCCTCATCTTTGTCGGTATATTTATTACAACGTTTCGGCCGTTGTACGCTCCGGCCTTCTTCAGGTGGTTGGAATGTCGAACTGAACCCTTTATTTCGCTCACTGGGGTAGACTGTTCTAGTTCCATGTGCCATGTTTATGTTAATTTTCCCTCTGAAAGTTCTCCACTGCCTCAAGGACACATGACACAGTGGATAAAGGCGTTGGTTAGATCCAGTGACAGAACCCAAAGAGTGTGAGTTCAATATCCGGCTAAGGCAGTGGAGAACTTTCAAAGGGAAAATTAACATAAACATAGCACATGGAACTAGAACAGTCTACCCCAGTGAGCGAAATAAAGGGTTCAGTTCGACATTTCAACCACCTGAAGAAGGCCGGAGCGTACAACGGCCGAAACGTTGTAATAAATATGGCGACAAAGATGACAATAGTCCGAATAACGTAGATAATGAAAATTTTTAATTCATTTATAAAACCGATTATTTATTTGATTTGTGGAAATGCGTAAAATATAAAACATGTGATGTGGCTCACGTACTGGAAAATGTCGAGAACTTTGATCGCCTGCGTTCGTGACTGAGCATTTGAAAATAAGGCTTCGTGGTTGGGCGAGAATAATTTTGGCGGTAAACAGCTGGTCATAGCACCAGATGTAGGTATCACATGTTTCTGTACTGAGAGATTTAAATTTAGGATATATGTTGATGAGAAAGAAACGAATAAGAGAGAAAGAGGGACAGAGGAAGGGAAGGAGAACGTCAGAGAAAGGGTGGGAGGCAAAGAGAGGAGGAGAGAAAGAGAAAAAGAAACATAGAGAGAAAGTAAGAGAGAGAAAGAAGGTAAGAGAGAGAAAAACAAGGAAAAGGGAGAGAAAAAGAAGGAAAATGAGAGAACAGGCAAGAAAGAAAGAAAGAAAGAAAGAAAGAAAGAAAGAAAGAAAATAGAGAAAAATAGAGAAAATAGAGCGAGGAAGACACAGAGAGAAAGATAGAGAAGGGAAGTGATAGAGGAAAAGAGAAATAAAGGTAGAAGGGAAAAGAAAGAAAGAAATAAACAAACAAAAAAAGAAAGAAACAAAAAAGAAAAGAAGGGACAGAACGAAGAGGCAGAAGGAAAGAAAATAGAAAGTGAAAAGAGATAAAAAAAGAGAAAAATAGAGCGGGGAAGAAAGAGAACGAAACAATGAGTGAGAGAAAAAAGAAAAAGAAAAGCAGAGTGGAAAAGAAAGAAAGAAAGAAAGAAAGAAAGAAAGAAAGAAGTAATGAAAATAGATAGAACAAGAGAAAATAGATAGAAAAAGAGAAAATAGATAGAAAAGAGAAAAATAATAGATAGAGAAAAAACAGTGAGAGAGAAAAAAGAAATAGAAAAGATAGAGAAGAAAGAAAGAAAGAAAGAGAAAGAAAAAAAAGAAAAAGAAAAAAGAAAAAAAAAAAGGGGGGGTTAAAGAAAAGAAAAAGAAAGAAAGAAAGAAAGAAAGAAAGAAAGAAAGAAAGAAAGAAAGAAAGAAAAAGAAATATCGGTAAGAAACAAAGCAAAAGAGGTTAAAGGAAAAGAAAGAAAGAAAGAAAGAAAGAAAGAAATATAAAAAATGAAAGAAAAAGAAATATCGGTAAGAAACAAAGAAAAAAGTTAAAAGAAAAGAAAGAAAGAAAGAAAGAAAGAAAAAAAGAAAGAAAGAAAGAAAGAAAGAAAAAGAAAGAAAGACCAATAAACAAAGAAAGAGAGAAAGAGAGTTAAAAAACGCGACACCCCAGAACTTAGAGAGGGCGGGAGATTTTTTAAAAAGTAATTCTTCCGCGTGCGGGAATTTCATTTCGATAAGCCGAAAAACAAACAACAGATTTTTTACGATCAGTTAAGTTCTCATGTCTCACGTATTGTTAATCTGTAAAGTGTAAACAAACAAACCAAACTATGTTGTTTAGAACTGGAGGAATTCCCTGCTTTCATATAAATAAGTTTCTATTCTTTGTAATCAACGATGAGGATGGATCTATAGGTCTGTAGTCGGGCGCAGTTATAAGCTGATTTTTTTTATTTGTATAATGTTCAATCTATTTGATTAATATTTACTACTGAATTAAATGCACTGAAAAGGAAGGAAAAGTAAATTGAAATATCAATGTATTGCAGAATATATATATATATATATATATATATATATATTTCATATATATATGACAGTCTGTTTCAATATATGCAATCGACAGGCCATATATATATATATATATATATATATATATATATATATATATATATATATATATATATTTATGAAATAGACAAAGTCCGACGAATATTTTAAGACATTTTTATGTTTATAAGTTCTTTTTTTATAGATACAAATGCTCTGTTTTATAATAAACAGTATTAACGATATTTACCGGCCTGAATCGTCCGAGAAATTTTCAGAGAAAATATGCATCCTCCGACAGGAATTAAACCTTTATCCTATACGGAACCGTCATATAGCCTGACATGCTTTGCCAATTTAGCCACAGTGAAAACAGTAAAATCGACCTTGCTAACCGAAACGTTCCTCTGTGGCTAATTCGGTAAAGCACGCCAGGCTCTGTATAGGATACAGGTTCGATTAACAACATTTACCGACCTGAATTTCAGCTTCGGTCTTCTTTGTGAAGAGGTCAAATTTAGGTTGGAGATGGCAATTTGATCCTAAATTTAGGAATTCTTTTTGGTCATCTGTTTATTTATGACGAGATAGGTTTATATATTTATCGGCGCTGTTGGGTAGTATTTAATTCTATCTTGTCTTAAAAAGCCTACCAAGTGAAATTTTAAACGCACATTAATTCAAGTTTCATTGTACAAACCAGGAACGATTTAGGGCCTGGAAAAGACGGAATCCGTGAACAGAGCTTTTAATAGTCTCGAGAAAAAATTATATGTTTTATTTTCGCCACCATATATATATATATATATATATATATATATATATATATATATATATATATCGATTTACTAAGCATTAGGATGTAGTACAAAGCCGAAAATATGGAGATCCAGTGTGGGTCGAATAACGCATTCTAAAGACAAGTTTGTTCAAAAACACGACGTCAGATATCTTCTCTCTTCAAGTCTTTCTCTCTCTCTCTCTCTCTCTCTCTCTCTTTATATATATATATATATATATATATATAGTGTACAAAATACTTTTACAAACTTTGGAGGCGGGTTCCTTCAAAAAAAAAAGGACAAAAGTCCGTATAAACATATGTCATTTCGTTTCCGAGCTATTAAGTTTAAAGAAAGTTAAAAAAAAAAAAAGTTTGTGGCCATGTAGACTAGGTTACATTTTTTTGGATTTGTGTATCATCTTTAGCGTTTAATTGTACATTTTGAAGAAGTGTTCCGTTTAACAATGGCAAATATTTAAACTTTTTCCATAAAAGCGAATGGTAATGAACATGAGGCTGCACGGCTGTATTTGTGTTTCCTCATCTAACCTTTGTTTTTATCGTCGCGTTGCTGAGACAATCCGTGGCACCATGAAATATGGATCGATGAAGACTAAAATTTGACCACGAATAACGCATTCTAAAATGCCGATTTTGGCTCTATACACCACATAGTATATATATATTCGTATCATTTGCAAAAAGTTTGTATATTTTGGATAGTAT